GACCTGTCTCTGCCACTACTGTACCCCAGTGTTATACAGAGACAGACTTGTCTCTGCCACTACTGTACCCCAGTGTTATACAGTGACAGACCTGTCTCTGCCAGTACTGTACCCCATGTTATACAGGGACAGACCTGTCACTGCCAGTACTGTATCCCAGTGATAAACTGGAAGGGGTACCCAGTTTCTAGCAAGCAGAGTCTAACTATTGGGAGGCTAAGTAGTGATGTGAACTGGTTGAGGTTGATAATAGAAGATCTGAGGCTGATATTTTAAAGCAATCTGAAATTCAGTTTCCCTTTTAGCATATTGGGAAGTACCTCCAGGCGGAAGCCATCAAGAAGAACCGCCAGGACTTCTACGATGACTGGAAAGGATATTTCAAAATGGTGGGTAGCCTGCAGATTCCATTTCATGGATTGTGAGTAGGTAATCTTCGCAATATATGAGGGAAGAGTTAGCTGAAAGATTGTTGACAGAGTACCCAGGAGAATGGACAAGGAATTTTCAAAAATTGTCAAATGAGATGAGACATGTTGGTGTTTTTCATTTCAAAAACAAGTACAGCAGGGGATTAGATACAGAGTAAAGCTACATCTACAGCGTCTCCCAGAACAGGGACAGCACATGGTTAGATAAAACACTTCCAGGATGGTTACAGCAGCTTTTACTATGCAATAAAGTCTTAGTTTTTAACCTGAAAAACCTAGGTGAGGACACAAGATCTTTAATGCTATAAGGTCTCCTTCAAATATCCCTCCTTTCTGTATTTTCCCTGCTTCTTTCTGAAAATTTTCTTTCCTCCATTAACTGACCATTCTGCAGATGCTGTAAAAGGTAGTTGCTTTACTGCCCAATTGGGATCAGTGCGTGCCAGCAGGACAAGGACACTTGTATCATTCGTGCCTTTGGGCTTGGGTGTGGGTTGTTGGAGAGGACCACTTTGTGTCACATTACAAGCTGATCCAGTTCTGAAAGAGAATTCCCCCCCCCACCACTCTTCCAATTTTCTGCAAAGAGTTGCTCGGGGCCTATTAGTATTTATTGGATCTCTCGTCCTTTGGTACTTTTTAACTGAGAGTTGCAGTGAGCTCATCTGCTTTCGGTCTCTGACAGAGAGAGATGATATAATTACATTTCAAACATTAAAGACTTCAAAGAATTATTGACCTTGTTGAAATGTAGGTAAAGTACACCAGTTTTGTTGATTATTAATTATTTGTGCATATGACTTGTCAATGAGAAGGCCAGCATTTATTGTCCATCTGGAATTGGCCTTAGGGATGAAGTGATGAGCGATCTTCTTAAACCGCTATGGTGTCCATGTAGTGTCGGTACTGCTACCATGCCCTTGGATAAAGATTGCAGCATTTTCAGCCAGTGACTCGGAGGGAACGGGTGATACATTTCCAACTGACAATCTTTAACCTTGTTGAATCTAGGCTGTAAAAGATCAGACAGTTTCATTTAATGCTGCACTCTCTCTGATTAAAAATCATCATTTAAGATGATTGAGATGATTGGCAAAAGAACTAGAGGCAGTTTTGAAGAAACACTTTCTCATACAGCAAGTGTGATCTGGAATGTACTCCTGAAAGGCAGTGGAAGTAGTTTCTGTTGTAATTTTCAAAAGGGCATTGGATAAATAATTGAGGGGAGAGGATTTACAGGGCAGTGGAGCGTGGGATTAATTGGATGTTCTTTCAAAGAGTTAGCAGAGACATGATGGGCTGACTGATATCCTGTGCTGTATCAGTGTATGATAATTAATAAAATAGTGCTGGACAATGATGTGGGGAAAAAATACACCAGGAAATTTGCATTAAACGTTTTTTGCCCAAGATGAAAATATCAACTTCTTAAAGCAAATACCTTCTTCCACTTTAGTGTGGGTGGTTGGTCAGATACTGTTTATTACTTTGATGGAACTCTAAACACCGTTTCAAATAGAGTTTTACTTTCTCCATCCTATACAGTGTATTGTAACTACTTCTGCTGGAGGAACAATGATTGCTCCCTTCACTCTCCTCCTCCACATCCTCTCAAACAAAAAGAGCAATTGTCACAAGTGGTCAGGCTTTAAAAGAAGATTCTCATGTCCTGGATACTGAGATTTTGATTAGGGTGCCAAGATGATTACATTCATTGTCTATAGGAGTGCACAACATGCACTGTGTTACAAACTGTGTTCTCAAGTATTCCGTTTAGATGATATCCCTAATCAGTGATAACTCAAATACATCTGGGACCTCCCATGCCAGTTTGTTCCATCATCCACTTCCATAATTAAAAGGAGTGCATTCAAACTTCCCCTTCTGAGGTTTGTGGTACATTTGTAGCTCCAGCTATTCCTCCTGTCTTTTGTGGAATTCTGTTTTGTAAAGGGAGCGGTTAATGGGGTAATTCAGCAATTGTGGGAAATAAGTGTGTACGATATGTCTAGTCTTGTGGGAAGTTCCATTTGGGTAACTGCCCACAATGACAGTGAAATCTGGATGTCACTATGCAAAATCGTGGCTGCAGCCTTGGGCTTTAAAGCTCCATAGTGTCTGAGGATTTCTGAGAGTGCGTTGTCAGAACAAGGTTAGGCCCATACTGAGACTGTTTACGAAATCCAGTGTATTACTGTCTATGTTCATTTAAAACAAATCATGTTTTAAAAGAACAATTCTGCTGTTTTTGTTTGATTGGTTAGCTTTCTGATTCTGCACATTTAGGAGCAAAATTAGGCCATTTGGCCCATCAAGTCTGCTCTTCCATTTGATCATGGCTGATATGTTTCTCAATTCTTGCCTTTTCCCTGTAACCTTTGATTCCCTTACTAATCAGGAACCTATCTATTAATAGGAGCCATTTTAATATTTGTGATGTGCATCCAAGGAATATTCCCTGCATGTGTTATAAAGTTACTTTTGACTTTGGGATTGCAACTATAAACTCATTTAATTCACTTTCCTTTACAGAATGTCGCAAGGCAAAACAATGACAGTGACTGTGGAGCCTTCGTACTTCAGGTGTGTGAAACAACAGTTTGTTGATAGCCTTTCAGACCTGTTCAACCACAACATTAGATACTAGCTATTCTGTTTTTTGACTCCATCTACCTATCTAGTTCAATGACCCTATACAACAATAATCTGCCAAACTCAATTAACTTATCCCTCAACTTTCAATCTTCAAGGAAATACAAGTCTAGTCTATGCAACCTGACCTTGTAATACAATATAACAACGTTTAGGAAAGACACATTGGCCCATCAATCTTGTCTTATATTGCCATGGAGTGACTTCTGCATACTTCCACACTCCTATCTGCAGCCTGTGATTTCCCAGTTCTGACTGCCTTTTAGTAGTAAAGCTATCACATAGGTCCCTTGTCAATCCACAACAGTAATGCTTTTATAAAATGGTTTGTCAATGTCCTAGGTGAAATCCGGCAGGGGCAACAGCCCATTAGTTTTGTGAGGGCTGTACTGTCACTTCCATGTTCTCAGCAAGCCTATGACTCCCTAACGTACTTGAAAATGACTTTGTTACCAGCATGCCTAATTGCTATTCTTCTCAATCTCCCTTTAGCTGCTCCAGTAGCATAGAACATAGAACAGTACAGCACAGTGCAGGCCCTTTGGCCCACAATGTTGTGCCGACCTATTATCCTACAAAGATCAAACTACCCTGCATACCCTACATTTTACTATCCTCCATGTGCCTATCCAAGAGTCACTTAAAAGTCTCTAAAGTGTCTGACTCCACTTCCACTGCTGGCAGCGCATTCCACATACCCACCACTCTCTGTGTAAAGAACCTACCTCTGACATCTCCTCTATATCTTTCTCCAATCACCTTAAAATTATGTCCCCTCATAATAGTCATTTCCACCCTGGGAAAAAGTCTCTGACTATCCACTCTATCTATGCCTCTCATCATCTTGTACACCTCTATCAAGTCACCTCTCATCCTCCTTCGCTCCAATGAAAAAAGCCCTAGCTCTCTCAACCTTTCCTCATAAGACATGCCCTCCAGTCCAGGCAGCATCCTGGTAAATCTCCTCTGCACCCTCTCTAAAACTTCCACATCCTTCCTGTAATGAGGCGACCAGACCTGAACACAATATTCCAAGTGTGGTCTAACCAGGGTTTTATAGAGCTGCAGCATAACCTCGTGGCTCTTAAACTCTATTCCCCTGCCAATGAAAGGCAACACACCATATGCCTTCTTTACAACCCTATCAACTTGGAGTAGCAACTTTGAGGGATCTATGGACGTGGACCCCAAGGTCCCTCTGTTCCTCCGCACTGCCAAGAATCCTGCCATTAACCCTGTATTCTGCATTCAAATTCAACCTTCCAAAATGAATCACTTCACACTTTTCTGGGTTGAATTCCATCTGCCACTTCTTTGCCCAGCTCTGCATCCTGTCAATGTCCCGTTGCAACCTACAACAGCCCTCCACACTGTCCACAACTCCCCCAACCTTCGTGTCATCGGCAAATTTACCGACAGCCAAATTTCCCTGAATCCCATGCCTCCTTACTTTCTGAATTAACCTACCATGGGGAATCTTATCAAATGCCTTGCTAAAATCCATATACACCACATCCACTACTCTGCCTTCATCAATGTGTTTTGTCACATCCTCAAAGAATTCAAAAATGTTTGTGAGGCATGACCTGCCCCTCTTAAAGCCATGCTGACTATTTCTAATCAAACTGTGCTTTTCCAAATAATCATAAATACTATCTCTCAGAATCCTCTCCAATAATTTGCCCACCACAGAAGAAAGACTGACCAGTCTGTAATTTCCAGGATTATCCCTATTCCCTTTCTTGAACAAGGGAATGACATCTGCCACCCTCCAGTTATCTGGTACTACTCCAGTGGACAGTGAGGATGCAAAGATCATCGCCAAAGGGGCATCAGTCTCTTCCCTCGCTTCCCGTAGTAACCTTGGGTATATCCTGTCTGGCCCAGGGGACTATCTATCCTCATGTTTTTCAAAATTTGTAGCACATCCTCCTTCCTAACGTCAACCTGTTCGAACATATCTGCCTGTTTCATGCTGTTCTCACAAACGTCAATGTCCATCTCATTGGTAAATACTGAAGCAAAGTATTAATTAAGGACCTCCCCTACCTACTCTGACTCCATGCACAAGTTCCCTCCACTATCCCTGATTGGCCGTACCCTCACTCTGGCCATCCTCTTGTTCCTCACATAAGCATAGAACGTCTTGAAGTTTTCCTTGATCCTACCCACCAAGGTTTTTTCATACCCCCTTCTAGCTCTCCTAAGACCATTCTTCAGTTCCTTCCTGGCCACCCTGTAGACCTCTAGAGCCCTGTCCGATCCTTCCTTCCTCAACCTTAAGTAAGCTTCCTTCTTCCTCTTGACTAGCAGCTTTGACTTCGGCAGCCATTGATAGCTAGCCATTTTTCTTTTGAAGAGAGCTTGCTGTAAGCCAATAAAAATATTTCAAAGTATGATTTGTTGTCTTAGCAGAAGACCAGTTTGGTTTGGTTTGACCATGTATTGATTTTACTTGAAGGGCATGCTTAGCTTCTTATTGCATAATGATGATTGAGGTCAATCCACTTTTCTTTAAGGACTATTCCTTACAGGACTATTGCACCAATTTTCAACTCATCTACCGTTTTTTGCAAATTTACTCATAGCCGTATGTTAAAATCTGGCACAATATGTTCAGCCTTGCTTTCAACCAAAGAGCCATTGAAATGGTTTGGAGCAGCCCAAGGCATCATTACAGCCTTTTAGGTACCAATCCAGGTACCTTATAAACACAGTGAGGGCTTAGGCCTCCACCACCAAACTGGGCAGCAATTTCCTAATACCCACGAGTTTTCCTCATGCCCTTGTCTAAGCCAAGTTTATCCTAATAATATTATGGTCACTGTTGTAAACGATATCTACCTTTATTGACAGACTTTTCACTTCTTTTAACAGAAGCAAACTCCATGTACAACAGCTCTGTCTGCTAATTGGGCCTTGGCATCTATGTGCCTGCTTATAAAAAGTGTCAATGGTGACATGTGTCCCATTATAAAGATGGTCAAGGAACCTCTTGGATCATCTGGACATATGACTGCAGTATCCAACTAATTAATACCCTTTCACTGCAGATAGAAGATGCCTGAGGCAAAGTGTTAAGAGCATGTTGAATGGTGAATGATTTATTTGTAGAAAACTGACTAAGTTTGGTTCTTGCCTCTTTCATTCCTTTTGTTTTGAAGCCAGATCCACCAGCCTAGCTTGTGAAATCCTTTATGCAATAAGCTGATGTCAGACTTATGGTTTAAACTCCAACCATCAATAGAACCAAGGTTATTACAAAGTGGGAATGAGCAGAATGCTTATTCTTGTAAGGAAGAGTATTAACTAGAGACTGTCACTGTAAGATAGTCACCTCATTACCACTGGAACTGGTTGAGGCGAATGGAAGGGAACAAAAGATTACAATGGTCACTTTAAATGAGGACAGATGGGAGGAGTTTTGGTGCCAAAGGGAACATGTTCAAAATATTTAAAAATCTAAATGCGCAGCTTTGCTAAAGTAATGTCTCTGTTGTTTCAGTTCTGTAAGTGTCTGGCTCTGGGACAACCATTCAGCTTCACCCAGCAGGACATGCCCAAGCTCCGGCGCCAGATCTACAAGGAACTTTGCAACTGCAAGCTGACTGTGTAAAGAGCCTGCTCCCAGAAATTGGCTGACACAAGCCTAACATTGGGTGACTGACCAGATAAAATGCACCCTTTTGTGAACATTACAAAGATGGCACAAGAAGGCTTGATTCAACAATTCCAGTCTTCAAATGTGTTGAAACATGAAACGTTTTTTTTTCCTTTTTTAAACGAGCAAACTTTTTTTTCTATGCCATATTTTTTCAATTATTTAAGTGTTGTTCAAGTTTGAAATTCTGGTTAACTATGTTGTATTATTAAACCAGGATCACAGGACTAAAAGGCAGCAATGGATTCATGTAAAGGCATTGGGTATTTAGCATCTTTAAAGCTGTCCATTAGCTGTCCTGTGAATTAGGGGAGAAAGTGATTATGCAGGATCGGTGACTCTCCATGGGGACTGTCAGGTTTTAGTTCCGAGGCTTGCTTGTCTCTTGGGACTATTTTCTGTGAGCTCTCAGTCAGCAGCCTAAGCCAAGTGGGTTGGTGCAGAGAAGTCTCTCATTTTTGGATGGCTAGGGGAGGGAGCATGGTGCTGCCTGTTTTGTATGGCTACACTGACATTATTGCCCCTGATAGTCAAAGAAAGGTTGTGGCCTACTACTGTGTGGAGTGGCATTAGGAGGAGAGTAGGCTGTCTTCGATACCTGTGAAGCTTTCGAGTAAAAGAAGAGGTTGCGTCTATTGAAATTCAATTAAATTAACTTGAAAGTGATGGTTAGTCACTGTCCAAATCCTATTAAAGACGTTGATGTTTCGTTCTATTTGTTGTCTTTTTCAGTTTATATGTTTAAAAAAAAAAGCTGGGACTTAATATTGTGACCAAAATGTGGATTTATAAAGCCTTTGGGTTTGTTTTTGAATGGAGAAGTAAACTGCAGTAGCCTGACACCATAAACCTCATGTACCTCACTAAATGCGTGTGTGGTAGCAACGTGCAACAATATGATGCTCCCAACACCCGTGGTAAAAATCTGATTGGTTATGTAATAACACATGTACTCTTGCCAAGCATCCTTCTAAGTGTCCACACAGTTCAGTTTTACCATGTTAGTAATTGTGTTTCTATATGAAGAATATAGGGTGCTTAGTTGGGATGGGGGTAGTGAGTTGCAAGTTGATGGAATATCAGTTTTACTTGAAATCTTTGTTTGTTATCAGATGAATTCAGCATGATAAGCATTAAATGGATTACCTTCTGCCTGTACCTCTATCTCTCACTGCTTAGTATGGGTCTAAAGAATAAAATACTGGATGGCTTGTCATCTTTTATTTAAAGTGGGAACTCAGAATGATATGGTGGCATTTCAGCTGTGATTGTACTCATCCATGTTTGTGGTATGTGGTAATGGATAGCTGAAAGCTCCTTCCCAAAATTAGTTTCTTTAAATTTAATTTATGAAATGTGTTTTATGGTGCCTTCCTTGCCAATCTGAACATCAGTTTCTTGAGAAATTTGGGCATTGCTAGCACCTACTCCTATTGTCACTCCCAAAGGCAGAGCTACAGGGCAACACTGCTCACTTTACTTTTTCATCCCTCAGTCTCAAGTTCAAATCCACAACAGACCAAGAATATAAAGGACTCTTCCATCTGCTGCCTGTAAAGCACTTTAGTGGAGCAAAGCAGGTATAAATGACCATGGGTTCTTACTACAGATTGCTACTTAATCAACAGCCATACTCAAACTGGAAATGAAACTGTCAGTGGAGATTACTGTTCCATGTTTGGATTGAAGGGACTTCTGTTGGGACAGGGTTGAAGGAACTTTGCTTGGTATAAATCCATATTGTACCTAACTTGAATTCTTGATGTTGATAACAGCTGCCAGTGGGAAAATATTCCATCTCTCAGTACTTCATTGAAATTTAAAATTGTAGAAAGGCAGTGTCAGCTGTTCTTGGAAAGTGTTCAGTGCATGTATTTAACATGCTGTGGTGTGATTCCTTATGTTTGTTTTGTGCATTCACTGTACTATCTGGCTGCTTCATGAATATAATGAGGGGTTTAAAAGGTACTTTTAAAGGCACTGAGTTAATCTTGAAACCTTTTTACATCCAGAGATGGAAAGGTGAAGGCTCAGTAAGTGAGATGATTCAAAGGCTTGAGATTTTATTTTGGGCTAAATCTGCAAAAACTGATACTGATCTTACATCCCTAATCCTCTTCCAATGACATTTTATTAATGACCTTAGTTTTTGATTGGAGAATTAAACAGCAGATTCGATTGCCTAATTATAGGGTTTTTTCATAACACAAGGGTTTCCTTAACTCCTGCAACTACATGCAACATAGTTCAGATGTGAACATGACAATCCTGTAGCTGAGTAGAAGGAAGCAACGGTTGAATTGTTGCAAACTTTTGATCTGGTTTATTTACCATATGTTTTGTTTGGGGGGGGGGCGGCGGTGGCAGGCAGGGGTATTCCTGCTTTGGAGTCAATGTTTTATGTTTTGGGAGTAAACACTAATGTTAACACGGTGGGGCGGGGGGGGGTTGCCGTAATCTACTCGGCCTCAGTTGAATTGTTTCATGTCAATTGCCTCCATGTAAAGTAGTGAGCAATTAGTTTTGAAGCCAGTGGAATTTGATGTGTGAAACTGATTTCTGTGTCAGCCTTCCTCCCCATGCCTCTGTCTGGTAAGTAAATTGCAGTTGTATAGCACCGTATCATTTCAGTAAAAAAGTGTGGTGATTTTCATATGGTTAAAATATAGAACATGCAGAGGAAAATCTATAAATTAAACAGTCAAACCTCTTGCTGGATTGTTGGGAGGTTATTGACGGTTTGCATGCTTCCTCCTGCTCTTGCATTTCCATCCTCCCTCGAACTCTGGTCACATTTACAAACATAATATTTTGGAGTTTCAAACTGAAACCTGGACACATTACTGTGGCAACAAGGTGTAGAGCTGGCTGAACACAGC